CCGACCCTCAGGCATGCACCCCTTTCAGAGGTTTTGTTTGTTCGTTGTTTTATAATTTCATAAAATTAGTTGAATTGTCCTTCCCTTGCCAATGTTTCCTTTCACTGAGAAAAGTCATGTGTGCTTGTAAATGTAAAATTACACCCTCGAGAAGGAGTGTGGACATTTGAGAGTCTATGGTTCCTAGAATTCCAGATGGAACGGGCCAGATGCACAACATCGAGATCACAACCGCACTTTCTTGTCAGGCTGGGAAAAGCCAGTGACGAGTCACCTCTGGTCCCCTGTTGAGGGGTCGCCTCTCCCAGCCGTCTGCCCAGTAGGCTCCCGGAGCTTCCTCCTTCTCCAGCCCAGACCCTGCCCAGTCCACTCCCAGGCCAGGCTGCCGGGTGAGCTGCTTCCCACCCACCGTCCAGCCCCGTCTCCGGGGGCTCAAGCCGCTAGGACTGGTGACACTCCATCCCCACACCCCGCTTTTACCTGGCTCTCCTCCTGGGCCCCAGCAGCTGGCCAGGGTCTGCAGGGAGGTGGCCCGGCCCTCGCCTGCCCTTCCTCAGACGCGTCCAGGCTCACCCATCCGAAGGCTCCTTCCACGCTACCTAATGAGAGTGAGTCACATCTGGGACCCACCACTTCCTGCTCTGGCGGCGGCGGCAGCAAGGCTAAGGCACAGCCCGCAGCCCAGCTTCTCAGGGTATGCAGGGCCCCCTCCCCCAGCCACAGTGTTGCTCTCTGCAGCCTGGGAGCTGCCAGGACTGGGAGCTATCGGGCTCCAATGACTTCACGGAAATTTGAAGCTTGAAGCTGGAACAATTTTGAAAAAAAAAAAAATATAATAATAAAACAAGCACCAAAACCTCCATTAGAAGCCCCAAGACAACTGTTCGAAGTGGGGAGCAAATGCATCCTTAATGAACAATTAGCAATTAGCCGCCTGACCTGAGCCTCCTGCGGGCTCTGACGCTCACAGACAGGCCCCCGCGCCTTCCCAGGACTCAATTTCCCTGTCTATGTAGTAAGGTGGCCTCGTCCACCTCTGAGAGGGGCCCAGGAGATGGCCTGAGAGGTCAAAGATCTTCTAGTCCAGCCCACTGCCTCTCCATCTCACCTGCGCTCCCACGCTGAGAGCAGGGCAGGGGTGGGCCCATCCTTGGGGCTCCTATTCCAAAATCAGAGTCCCTGGAGAACCCCAGCATCCCTTGGCACCATGAGGCCAGGAACCAAACCCCAGCACCCCTTCTGCTGTGCCAGGCCTCAGTTTCCCCACTGGGATCATGGGGCGCTCAGTGGTGAGGGAGCAAATCAGGAGAGGCTGGGAGGAGGGAGTGGAGACTCCCAAATCAGAGGGGGAGGCGTCCAGCCCACTGGCCACAGCAGCACCTGGTCCTCAGGGAGCCCTTCTGAGCATGTGATTGGCATCCTGGGATTACGAGCTCTTCAAAGCAAGGGTGTACCTCCTCCACCTCCTACATCCAGGGTCAGACACACCTCCTTCCAGCCCCTGTACTTTCCTCCATCACAGCACCTCTGTGCTGTGACCATTGGTTGCTGATCTGTCTTTCCTAGGTTATATCCTTGGGGAGGGCAGAGTTGGGAGGACAGCTGTAATGTCAACAGCTGCGTCCCCAGCATCCAGCCCCAGTTGGTCACAGAGTAGACATCCCACGCATACCGATCAGGTGGAACTGAACATGATAAGTGCTGTCTCTGTGCCAGGCCCCTGCAGGGGACTAGCAGGTGACCTAAGGTCTGCCATCTGGTGGAGACAGGCATAGGACTCACACAGGGCTCCAGGCTGCTCCAGAGGCCACAGGAGGGAGTGGGAGACCTCAGGCGAGCCTCCCCATCAGTGTTGCCCTCCTATCAGCAAATGTCTCCCCAGCTTGGGTGAACCAGAGCAGAGAAGGAATAGACATCATCATCATCAAGAGAGGGGAAAGACAAGCTGCTGACTAGGAAAATCACATCCTATATAACTGACAAAAGACTCCTCCCTAGCATATATAAAGATCTCCCAGGCTGGGCACGGTGGCTCACACCCGTAATCCCAGCACTTTGGGAGGCTGAGGTGGGCGGATCACCTGATGTCAGGAGTTCAAAACCAGCCTGGCCAACATGGCAAAATCCCGTTTCTAATAAAAGCACAAAAATTAGCCAGGCGTGGTGGCATATGCCTGTAATAATCTCAGCTACTTGGGAGGTTAAGGCAGGAGAATTGCTTGAACCTGGGAGGCGGAGGCTGCAGTGAGCCGAGATCACGCCACTGCACTCCAGCCTGGGCAACAGAGTGAGACTCTGTCTCAGAAAAAAAAAAAAAAAAACCTCCCACAAACCAATATGAAAAAGACAAATGGCCCGATTAAAAGATGAACAGGAGACTTACACAGGTACTTTGACAAAGAGGATGCCAAAATGACCAATAAGCACATGAAAAAGGCACTCAACACCATTAGTCACCAGCAAATTAAAACCATATAGAGATTCCACCATATCACTAGAATGGCTAAAATTAAAATGAAAATACCAAGTGTTGACAAGGAGGAGGAGCAGCTCTTCACTCTCATGTACTGCTGGTGGGAATGTAAAATGGAGCCACGATGATGAAAACTGCCTGGCAGTGTGGACAAAAGCAAACCATATGCTTCCCCAATGACTCAGCAACTCAATCTCAGGTATTTACCCAAAAGAAATGAGTACACATGTCCACAAATGACTTCTATCCAAGTGTTCAGAGAAGCTTTCATCCTAACAGTCAAACTGCAAACCCAAACATCCTGCAATGAGTAAATGGATAAACAAATTTTCATATATTCACACAACAGAAAATTACTCAGCCGTGAAAAGGAACGGATCACTGCTAACACACAGCATAAATGAATATCTGAGACAGCAAGGAGAGTGAAAGACCCGCCCACAAAAGACACATTCAGCACGTTTCCATTTATATGAAACTTCAGAAATGATGAAACTAATCTACAGCGACAGACAGCAAGACAGCAGTTGCCTCTAGGGAGGCCGCTGATTGGGCACACAGGGACCTTCTAGGGGCTGAGGAGTTATAAATCTCCCTCTGGGTGCTGGTTACATAAGCAAGTGCCTAAGTACACCCATTACCCTGTACATTGAAGGTTTGTGCACTTGCCTGTATGTAAATTACCCGTCCATTTTTAAATGGGTATTGAGTGATACCCGTTTGTGTATGTGGGAGGGCATGGTGCTGGATGCTCAGTAGATTCAGGAAACAGAACAGATCTGACCTGGCCCGTGGGCGAGAGGCTGATGAGACACATGATCAAACCCTGAGGAAAGCGCGGTGTGGAGATGGAGCCGCTGGGGGAGATATCAGGGGGCCAAGGGGAAAGGGCATAGGAGGCAGGGCAAGTCCAGGGGAATGGCAGGCGGGGAGCGACCCACCCTGACCAACATTTCTGCAAGATGATCTTGGCTTGAGAAAAGGGGTTGCTTGGAGAGGGCACATGTGGATGTCTGGACACAGGAGGAGGGTTCCCCACTGCCTGCTGGGAGCTGATGGGGCCCTGGGCTTTCCAGCATCAGCCACAGAACAGGGAGTGTGTGACGATAAACTGGCCATACAGCAGGGGCTGTGTGATAACGAACCCTGCAGTTTGATACTGAAAGGGGCACAGTAAACCCTGCCATTTGATAACCAAGATTCCTGTCCCACTGAGCAACACCTCCTGCCCTCCCAGGCCGCCCTCCCAGCTCTCTCCTTGGAAGATGTGGTGGTGAGTCTCTTCCCTGCTGGAGCCTGAGAACTGCCTCACACTAGCTGCTCCCTGCAGCCCCAGCCACCAGCCACCATTGGACACCCCACCCCTCATGCGGTCTAGGAGGTCCCAGCAGGCAGGATCTGAGCACACACAGGTCAATGCTCCCTGGGATCCGCACAGGCATCACCCAGGACTTGACACACACAGCCTCATGGCACTCGCTGGCAGTGCTGAGGAAGGCTCTGCTATCATCGCTCTGTAGAAGGCACCAAGGCTCAGAGACACCACATTGCTGGCCCAAGCACACACAGCTATGAAAAGGCAGAGCCAGGATTCAAGCTCAGGTCTACCTGACTTCACAACCCATGCTCCCGACCCTCCCTGGGAACAAGGACAAGCTTCCATTGGGGATAGGCTAACCCCATTACAAGGTAATGAGCATGGTGGATGCCCTCACTCAAGATGTCCCAGCCCTGGCACACAGTGCTCCCAAGTCTGCTGAACAAACTCCCTCTTTCCTAAAACTCCTCCAAAGAAGGGCAACCTTGGGCTTTCAAAGCATGAGACAGGGAAGGCTGGTTTCTGCTCGGCAGAGGTGCCAGGGCACACAGCACGGCCCCAATCCTTTCCTGTCCCACTCAGCAACCCCCATCTCTTCCCTGGTCCTGGGGACACAAAACTGACTTGGACATAGCTTCCTTTCATGCAAGTTCCTAGGCT